CCAGTGGGGCAGAAGTCTATAGAGAAAGAAGCGGACGTCTCCCTCCCCACCTCACAAATGCTCACACACTGGGCTGCTCCAACCAGTCTCATGGCTCTGCCGGTCAGAGGTCTGAGTCCGCTCAGCTGGAGTCTACGCTCAGGGGTCACCCGGCTGAGGTCAAGGTGTCTGGCGGGCAGGACACTGCTCTAAGCTCACTCCGCTGCTGGCAGGGTCCAGCTCCTCGGCCTGGAGGGCTGCGCTCTTTCCCTCGCTGGCTATGGGCTGAGAGCCCCTCTTGGCTCCTTAAGGGCATGGCTTAGCTCAGGTCGCTGGACCCAGAGACCACAGACGGGGCAGCTTCAACACCCAGCATGTATTTCTCGCACTTCCAGAGGCTGGACGTCCACGTTCAGAGTGCCAGTGTGGTGGGGTTCCGGTGAGAGCCCCCCTCCAGTTCTGCAGACAGATGCCTCTTGCTGTGCCCTCTCTGCACATAAGGGCGCGGATCCCGTCATGAGGCCTCCACCTTCATGACCTAACCACCTCCCAGAGGTGCGCACCTCCAAACACCATTGCACTGGGGATTAAGGTTTCGACGTGTGAATGGGGGGGAACATTCTGCCCCTAGCAGGGTGCCTACCTCCCTCCAGGCGGCCCCTCCATTTTCATGCCTGCTACTATGTGTCAAACGCTCCTTACGCTTTGAATCCATCTGACTTTCTCTTCTGCTACCAGCCAGAGAAAGCTCTCTGCTTTTTTTAAAAAAAGATTTCATTTATTTGAGAGAGAGAGAGGATCTCCAGCAGACTCCTGCCTGAGCATAGAGCCCAACGTGGGGCTTGATCCCAGGACCCCGAGATCATGACCTGAGCAGAAACCAGAAGTCTGGCACTGGGCATGGAGCCTACTTTAAAAAAAGAGAGAGAGGGTGCCTGGGTGCTCAGTTGGTTAAGCAAGTCTGCCTTTGGCTCAGGTCATGATGTCAGAGTCCTGGGATCGAGCCCCGCATCCGGCTCCCTGCTCATCAGGAAGCCTGCTTCTCCCTCTCCCACTCCCCCTGCTTCTGTTCCCTCTCTCGCTGTGTCTCTGTCAAATAAATAAATCTTTAAAAAAAAAAAAGAAAGAAAGAAATTATAAAAAGGAGAGAGGGAACTATATATACTCTTTAGCCTAGTGTATCCACTTGTAGACGTTTATCCAAAAGACACATTCATACAGGTATAAAGTGGCCCCTATTATACTAGGCTGTTTATTGCAGCATTATTTGTAACAGTAAACACTTGGGACCAATGTGAACTTCATTCAGAGGGATCTGGTTACATAAATTATGCTGCATCATACAGAGGAATTTTATGTAGCAGTAAAGTAAAACAAAAGCATGAGGCAGCACTGCATAGAAGATTCTCCAAGACATATTGTGGTTTTGTTTGGTTGATTGGTTTGGGTTTTTTTTAAAAAAAGATTTTTTTTAAGTAATCTCAACACCCAACATGGGGCTCGAACTCACAACCTCAAGATCAAGAGTCGCGTGTTCTTCCGACTGAGCCAGCCAGGCTCCCCTCCAAGACATATTGTTAAATGAAAAAAAAAAAAAAAAGACACAGTACGTATAGTATACTAATCATTCAGTTTAACAAAGAAAGGATGGGGCGCTGGGGTGGCTCATTTGGTTACAGGTCTGCCTTCAGCTCAGGTCATGATCTCAGGGTCCTGGGATCGAGTCCCGCATGGGGCTCCCTGCTCAGCAGAGAGCCTGCTTCTCCCTCTGCCTCTGCTCCTCCCCCTGCTTGTGCACAAATAAATAAATAAAATCTAAAAAAATATAATATAAAAGAAAGAACAAAATGCACGTGCTTGTGTTTGCCAACATTACCTCTGAAAGATACTTTAGGACGACAGTGTTTCCCCAAACCTAAGATCCTCTGCTGCTGAAGCTTTCTTCACCTGACCAGGACGGAAGTGTATCCCCCACAAATTCATATGCTGACATCCTAACAGCCAGCACCTCAGAATGTGACTGGACTCAGAGATGGGGACTTTAGAGAGGTGAAGAAGGGAAAATGGGGTCATGGGCCTGAGTTCTCATCCGATTGGACCAGTGCCCTTCTAAGAAGAGACAATTTGGACACACGGACCCCAGGGGTGCCCATGCACAGAGGATCGACCGTGTGAGGACAGCGAGAGCATAGCCACCTGCAAGCCAAGGGGAGAGAGGCCTCGGAAGAAACCACATTTGCTGGAACCTTCCCACCTCCAGAACTGGGAGAAAATCCAGTTCTGTGGCTTAAGCCTCCCAGTCTGTGATCTTCGTTATGGTCACCCGAGCAGACTAAGACACCAAGCGTCATCCGAAGGTTGTACAAATTTGTTTCAGCTGTCTCCTGGCTGACGATAAATTCTGATTTCAAGGAGGCTATGGTGTCAGAGAAAATAAGAAAACTCTTTTGTATCAATTAAACCGATAGCACTGGCTCAGGGGCGGGGCTGGAGGGGCCAAGGAGACTGGGGGCCAAGACTGGCCGAGACAACATTGTAACAACAAATTACAATTACAATTACAATTTCAGAAAGAGGTATCAGATCAGATTGTAAGATTTGCACGCTGGGGAGAGATGTCTCTGCAGAGCACAGACCGTCTCGGGGGAGGGGAAAGGGACAGATGAGGAGTGAGAGAAGGAGCCAGGCTGGGCACCCTGGACTCTTGTACTATGGGTGTTAATTGTAAAAAGATTTAAGAAACATTGTTAACTTAATTTTCTTAAAGTAAAACAGGGTAAAAATTAGTAGCACTGTGAAAGACTCCTGCTATTTATTAAGCACCTACTGTATACCAGGGGGCTGTGCCAGGCACTCTGCTGACCTCTTGATTAATACCGAGGAGTTCCTTGCAAAAAAAGAAGTGCATTGTTCCCATTTTATAGGAGGAGACTCATGTTGAAGAGGGTAGAAAACTCACCCGATTACACACAGCTCCTGAGTGGTACAGCCCAGGGTTCACAGCTGCCAGGAAGGGGCTGGTGAACTGAAACATGGGTCCCTATTCCTGCTCAGGGAGCCCCAGGGAGGACGGGCAGGGCCCAGCCAGGAGCTTGTTTGGAGACCCCAAGGGCCACATGGGCCCCCAGGCCTGGGGTCCGGGAGGCTGATGGGTGCAGGGTTGGGATGGCCCAGGGCACCTGGGGCTGGGCCTCAGGGCGTCCCTGGAACACCCACCGCAGTGCCTGCCCTGAACGGGAAGGGGACGGGAGCCCCCCCTGGAGCCCCCCAGATGCTGGGATCTGATGCAGACGTGGAGCCGCTCCTGGGTTCCAACCTCACCGACCTCAGGGTCCCCTCTGGCTCTGAGCCCAGGCCGGGTCCAGCAAGTGGCCCACCCGTGGAAGCTGAGGATGACCTCTGACCCCACGTTTTCTCGTGGCCCTCACCTGGCAGCCTGGACTCCGCCTGGAGTCACATCCTGGCCTGAAGGGCAAGGGGTGATGGTGGGCACATGGCCCTACTCACCTGCCCTCCTGCCTCAGCCCCCAGGACTACCTGGGCCCCGGGTTTGCGGCCCACACCCCACGCCGGCCCACTGACCTCCATGGTGCTCTCAGCTCTGGGCCCAGGGCCAGGTCCAAACTGGCGCTCGAGCAGTGGTACTGATCCCCCACTCCCTCACGACACAAGATCTGGCTCCATCTCCTGCCAAGGGACCCTGTGGAGATCTGGGCCAGACCCAGAGCAGGTTCAAGTCGAGGATGAGGACGAGGGGCTCCTTCCTCTGCATGACAAAGGGTGGGGACTGCCGTCCAGCCCCGGACAGTCCATCAGCCCACTGTCACAAACCTCCCAATCCACACTGGCTTTCTTGGGCCTCTGGCCAGGGCTGCTGGAGTTAGCAACTCAAAATATAGGACTCCCAGTGAAATCTGGACTTCAGATAAATAGCAAATGATTAGTCTAAGTATGTCCCCAACTGTCTCCTGTATTTTATCTGGCAGCATTACCTCTGGCCACTGCCCAGGTGTTTCATTTTCCCAGTAAAACTCTTCAAGCACCTGCAAGCCCGCCACCCCTTGCAGGAATCCTTGGGAAGCGGGGGATCGATCCCACCTCCGCCCAGCCCCATCACTGGACTGAGTCCCCCCCTGGCAGCTTCTGGGGTCAGGCAGGACTCTGGCTGGGAAGATCTGGAGGGTGCGGAAGGATTTGGGCTGGCCCCCGGAAGGCCTGATCTTCCTGCTCTTTTCAGAAGCTGGGCTCTCCTGGCCTCGCCCAACTACCTAGCAGGCAGTCGCCATTAGCGACTGTGGGAGCGTCAGGAAGGGGTCACCTCTCTGAGCCTCGGTTGTCTTGGCTCAGAAGTTGGAGGGAGCGATACACCGGCTGGTTCTTCCACTTCTAATCTCTGAATCCATGAATAGCCAGAGAGAGGGAGAGATGGGTCCTTATTGGACACACCCCCACTGGTGCTAAATTATCACAGGTTCCCTGGCCTAGGCAGGTACCCTGAGAACAGTGGTTTCCAACTGTGATCAGCCCAGGATCTCAGCAGCCCCTGGAGCCCTCAGGGCACCAGGCCAGATGCTCATCGCTGCCCACAGGATGGGTCCTGAATCCAGGAGCCCTGGTGGTGGGGGGACAGTTTCTTGCAGCCAGCAACCAGACCGCAGCTCCACACACCAGGGAGTCCAGTTGGCTCTGTGCCCGGGCAGACCGGGAATCCGGCACAGATGAGATGGGAATGAGATCCCGGCCTCTCCTCCACAACTCAGACCTTTAAAGTCCGTTGGTCAGGCCCCCCAAAGAAAGGCAGAAGGTCATGGGCACTGGACAGAGAGCCAGCTGTCCACAAGCCAGACAGGCCTCTGTGCCCGTTCTAGACAGCCCCCTCCTCCAGGCTCCTGGACCCGCCTGGCCGCTGAGCTCCCAGGAGATCCGAGGGGTGTGGCCTGGCTCCCCCCCCACCCCCAGGCCCGGCCCAGGGCTGGCTATAAAGTCAGCCCAGCCTGATCTCAGCACAGCCAGCCAGGACCCTCCCGGAGCCGCCCCCGGGGACACACGTCTGTCGCCTCCGCGGCTCGGGCTCATGCGCAGCCCCATGCGGCCACTGTGGCTGTGCTGGGCTCTTTGGGCGCTGCCCTTCCCCGGCCCCGGGGCCGCCTTGAGCGGGGAGCAGATCCGGGGCAGCCTGCTGCGGCAGCTGCACCTCAGCCAGGTGCCCGTCCTAGACGGGGGCGACGGTGACGGGCTGGTCACCCCTGCCCACGTGACAGCCCAGTACGTGGCCCTGTTGCAGCGCAGCCACGGTGCCCGCTCTCGAGGGAAGAGGTTCAGCCAGAAATTCCGAGGTGAGGCCTCCCTGCGGCTACGCCCCGCTCCTTGTCGGGGTGCCAACCGGGAGCTCAGGGGTTAGGGACACGGGGCGTGTGGGGAGGGTGTGGAACACGTCCCACCGTTGGCCTTCGGACTCGGTAGCCCCGCTAAAGCTGCTCACGGGCCCCGGACTCCTCTTGGGGACATCTCCCCGGGCATGGGAGGGAGATGGGAGGAATTCAAGGCTCTTGCTCTGCTTCTTAGGACACTCAGCTGGCCACCAGAAGTCTCCATGGCAGGGCTCTCTGCCCCCCCTCCATTGCCCACCTCCCCCCCCACCCCGTTTTGCAGTGCCCTTTGCCCAAAGAAGGCTACAGGTCTGGGGGCCTGGCTGGCTCAGCAGGTGGAGGGTGTGACTCTTGATCTTGGGTTTGTGAGTTGGAGCCCCCGCTGGGCCTACGTAGAGATTACTTAGAAGTAAAATGTTCAAACAAACAGAAAAGAATGTCTGTGCATGTCTGTGCACTTGAGGGGCAGCCCCAGCCCCCACATTCTCCCTGGCATCTCCCTGGGGACTGCTGGGGAAATGCTGTTCACTGGCGGGGGGCCCAGCCCCCTCGCAGCCGCCCTGGTGCTGCACAGGCCTCCTGACCCTGCTCCTGTCCCCAGAGGTGGTGGGCAGGTGGCTGGCGTCGGAGGCCTCCACGCACCTGCTGGTGTTCAGCATGGAGCGGCGGCTGCCCCCCAACAGCGAGCTGGTGCGGGCCGTGCTGCGCCTCTTCCAGGAGCCGGTGCCCAGGGCCGCGCTCCGTAGGCTCGAGCGGCTGTCCCCGCACAGCGCCCGCGCCCGCGTCACCGTCGAGTGGCTGCACGTCCGCAAGGACAGCTCCAACCGCACCTCCCTGGTGGACTCCAGGTGGGGGCTGCAAGCGGGGAGGGGGCGGGGGAGGAGGGATGCCGAGGGGAGGGGGGAGGGGGTGTTCCTAGCTGGGGGGAGGGGAGGCGGGAGTCCCAGCACGGGGGGAGGAGACGGGAGGAGGAGAGGGGAGGGGCGGGGGTCCCAGCACGGGGGGGTGGGGGGCAGGGAAGTAGGTGTCCTAGAGTGGGGGGAGGGGGCGGGGTCCCAGCGCGGGGGGAGGAGATGGGAGGAGGAGAGGGGAGGGGCGCGGGCCGGGGGTCCCAGCGCGGGGGCGGGGAGGAGAGGGGCACGGGCGGGGGTCCCAGCGCGGGCGTGGGGGCAGGAGGGCTCCCCAGGGTGAACCCGCAGCCCCCAGCTCAGGCCCCCGTCCCCGCGCCGCCCCGTCGCAGGCTGGTGTCCCTCCACGACAGCGGCTGGAAGGCCTTCGACGTGACCGAGGCCGTGACCTTCTGGCAGCAGCTGAGCCGGCCTCGGCAGCCCCTGCTCCTGCAGGTGACGGTGCAGACGGAGCACCTGGGCCCGCGGGCCGCGGGCGCCCACAAGCTGGTGCGCTTTGCCTTCCAGGGGCCGGCGGGCGCCAGGCAGGGCGAGCCCCAGCTGGAGCTGCACACGCTGGACCTGGGGGCCTACGGGTAGGCGCCCGGGCCACACGGGGGGACCCCACTCCCAAGGCCAGCTCAGTCCGAGTGGGACTTTTCAGGGTGCCATGGGAGTGAATGCCCGCAGGAGAGTCCCTTTCAGTCTCAGGACTAAGGGCTCTCGTGATGTACCGTTTGGTTGTTGGTAGTGACTCATCCCTATCCTTTTGAACATAATGAACACTGGGTGGCAAAGCTCCTCTCAGATGCCCCCCCGCCCCCCCCCCTGCCCCGGGCCCTCCCTGCTGACCTCTGCCTCTCCTTGCCTGCGCAGAGCTCAGGGCGATTGTGACCCTGAGGTGCCTGGGTTGGCGGAGGCCCCCGGCTGCTGCCGCCAGGAGATGTACATCGACCTGCAGGGGATGAAGTGGGCTGAGAACTGGGTCCTGGAGCCCCCCGGCTTCCTGGCCTACGAGTGCGTGGGCGCCTGCCGGCAGCCCCTGCCCTTCAAGTGGCCGCTTCTGGGGCCTCGGCAGTGCATCGCCTCGGAAAGGCCTCGCTGCCCATGATCGTCCGCGTGGAGGAGGAAGGCAGGCCCAGGCCCCAGGTGGTCAGCCTGCCCAACATGAGGGTGCAGAGCTGTAGCTGCTCCTGGGACAGGGCGCCGGTGCCCCGGAAGCTGGAGCCTTAGGTGTAGGGCGTGGCCACGGGGGGACTTGGCTTTTGTGGGCATCAGGGGTGTTGTAGGGCATGGGGAGAGCCGGGGGTTGCTGCTGATGGGCAAAGGCTCTGTGCCATCTACTGAGCTCTCTGTCCATTCAGCTTGCCTCCTAATTTTTGCTTCCCAGAGTCAAGACTCCCTGGCAACTGGGTAGCCCCCGCCCGTCTTCTCTGTTCATGTGACAATATCCCAAGCACTTACCTCTGTCAAGTCTATAACGTAAGAGCAGGAAGCCAAATTGTCATTGTTTCCTTGAACCGTCACTGGATCTGGGCTGAGCTCTGTGGAATGGGCCTGTGGTAGGGTCAAGTATGGGTTGTGTATTCCCAACCCAGATAGGGCATTTTCTAATGAACAAATGAAACATGTTTTAATCTGTATTTCTCTATTTTACCCAGAACCCCCAGGGAACAGAGAGTTCTAAAGGGATTAGGTCCACCTGCTTAGAAAGCTAAGGAAGGAGCTAGAGAGGACTCAGTCAAGGTCTCAGTAATATAGGAAGCTAGGACTGAAGCCATTCAGAGTCAAGTGCACTTGTCCTGCTAAAATCCAAGCAGACATTTTTTGTCACTGTTGACGTTTTTACCCTCCTGGGCACAGGGAGTGGGCTTTGTTTCAATTCTACTTGTTACAAAATAAAAAGTCTGTGATGATAAAAATCATCAGTACTGTAAGACTGTAGGTCACACCTTTAGCTTTTGGGGCAGATGAAGGGAGCAAATGCTGAAAATGTTGGATATGACATTTTTGAGTGCCTGGATTATAGGGGCTGATAAGCTGTGACTTCGATCCCAGCCTGGCCATCTTGAATTCCTAGCCAGTGTGCAGGACTCTTATTAGCTCTGAATTCCATACCCTCCAAACCCCTATCTCCTTCCCTATCCAACAGAATAATCCCTGACTCCCATACACTTACTGGAGATTTAAGGAAATGGTGTTTTTACCAGCACCCCCCACACGGATGATACATGACGGGTTACGGCCATCTCAACTTTTACAGGGGTTATGGCTGCCTCAACTCACATTCGGACCCTATTGGCCTTCTCTTGATTTTGAAATAAACTTCATTTACTGAAAATCAAATTTAGAAATCCCTTTCCTCTCTGAAATTTTGAAATCAAAGATTCTAACGTTTCTCCTTTTTTTTTTTTGGTCAGTGGCTTCACCATTCTAACTCCTGGGAATAGAGCCTGGCACTTCCCCGGACCCCTCAGTGCAGAGCAGGCCGGTGGTGGTGCCATTAATTGAGGCAGGAAGGAATGAGGACATGCAGGACAGGGGTGTGAGGGACAGGAAGAGAGTAGACAGTCTGAGAAGTCTGGTGGGGGGTTGGGGATGACGACGACGACGAGGACAGACGTCCAGCCAACCACACCCAGGAACCTTGGGGGAGGCCAAGTGTGAGGCCCTTGGCAGCAGGAGGCAACCCCAGGAGAGGACAGATACGCAGGCACTTGTCAGGCAGACAAGGGCTGAGCGCAGGGGCCCTCGGCAAACTCCAAGAAATAACTAGTGGCTGGGATTTGGGCGGGGGGACGGGTTGGCGGGCAAGGAGGAGGCCAGATGGGACCGAAAAGAACTGTTGGAGAGGCAGGAAGAGCCGCCGGGCACTCACCCCGGCCCACCCCAGCGCAGAGAGCCAACAGGCCGGCCCCAATCAGGGGCAGGGAGGAACGGGCAATGAAAGAGGAGAGGTCAGGCACGCGAAAGGGTCGAGAAGCTGCAAGGGCGCCCGCCCACGTGAGGGTCCAGTGCAGCCCCGGCCTTCCCGATCAGTAGTGCTGGAAAGGCCCCGAGGTTCCCCTGCTCCCAGGCCTGGGGCTGCAGATGCGGAAGACGAGGCCCGCTCAAGCGGGGCGCCGGAGGCCGCTGCCCGGGAGCGCGGCGCCCCGTCCCGTGCGCCCCGTCCCGTGCGCCCCGTCCTGTGCGCCTCGCACCGCCCTTGCGAGCTGGCAGCCCCTCTGAGCAAGGCCCCCGGCTCCGGGGAAAACGCGCTCCCCGCGCGGCCGCGCAGCTCAGGCCAGGGGGTCGTCGGCCAGCCTGCGACCTCCGGCCGGAGCCGAGCTGCGCGTCCTCGCGGGGGCCAGGGCTGCGCGCGAGGGGGGCGGGGGCCGCGGGGCGCCGGTCGCCGCAGCAAATTGGGCCGGCGGCGCGCGCGGGGCTCTGCGCATGTGCGGGAGGCGCCGGAGTTTCCCTTTGCAACTTTTAAGGGCCTGGGGACGCCGCGCCGCCCGGCCAGGTGGAGCCCGCCGCGCCCGCGCCGCAGGTAGAGGGGAAGGGGCGAGGCGGAGGGGGCGGAGGGTCGGGTCCCGGGCCCACAGCCTTTCCGGACTCCCCCTGCGAGGCTCCCTCTCCCCTCGCCTCCCCCCGGGGACTTGTCCCCGGGAGCTCGACCTCCCAGCCGGGACGGGGAGAGAGGAGCGCAGCCGGGGTGGGGGCTCTTCCTTCTCGGACTCTGTGCCTCGCAGGCCTGGGAAGGGGCCGGGCGCCCGAGTCCTCTGCCGCTGGGAAGGAGTAGAAGCCCCCGGGGCTATCTGTCCCTCAGGGACCCCTGCCCGCGGCCCTGCCGGCGCCCCGCGGAGGGAGGCCGGGCGTTCGGGGAGGGTGAGGAGAGTTCTGCCAGGAAACCCAAACCGCCCAGGTCCGGGGACCTGATAAGACTGGCCACCTGAGACGCTGGGGTGGCCTCCACCTTTCAGCCGCCGGTGGTGTCCTCAAGGGCAGGACTCCACAGTGCGGGAGACCGAGTGACCGCCAGCTTCCTTCCCCGCCGAACCTGCGCGACTGCGCCTACAGTGTCCCGGCTTCCTGGTTCGGCCGGTGGGCTGTGCTCCCCAGGCCCGCCCCAGGCACAAGGGGGACTGTGGAGGCGCGCTGGGGCCTTTCGGAGGCCCTGGCGCCTACAGGGTTGAAGACACTCGTGGGGGACGGGGGAAGATCTCCCCGTCATCCCTCACTGCAGGAACAACCAGTATTTCTCCCTTTTCCTTCCTCCCCTCCTCTGACACATGTCAGAGTCCCAAGTGTGCTTCTGCCTCCGGAGAATGGGAACAGAAGCAGAGGACCCCTCCTCTTCACACGACCTCTTCCTTGTTTAGTGTCCGGGCAAAGATCTCTCTTGAACTGGGCTGTAACAGAGAAAAAACATCAGAGGGAGTCCTGACATTGTTTCCCAGTAGCTGGAGGAGTGACTTAAAAACCAAGAGCTTTCGAGTGCTCGCTGGGACTAGGCCCTGGGCTAAGTGCTTCATGGCATGGACAGCCGTGTAAGTAAGCGGAATAACATCATCGCCCTCATTTTATGGAGAAGGAAGTCAAGGCACTGAGCATTTAAGCCACTTGTCTAAGCAACATGGTACCCTAAGTGCAGAGCCTGCTCAGGTAACTGCTGGGTGCCCTGCCTCCCCGAGGCTCCAGGGCCCATGTCTATGGAGGGAAACCGTTGTCCAGGGTCCCGGGTCCTGTCTGGTGGTGCTTTAAGAACTTTGTATTCACTCGCAAGCTTCTCCTGCATCCGGCAGATCCGAGTTAGCTCCCATGGCAGAAGGGCTGGAGCTGCTTGTGGTCTCGCTGTTGGAACAGAATCGGAAGGTCCGTGCTGATAAAAAATACCCTGAATTTGCATGGGGCCTTCTTGCAAGACCCGACAGGGCTCACGCACCTCCTGCAACATTCTGTTGGTTTTTCTGGAAGGAAGGTGTCGATGGTTAGGTGTGCTGCCGGTCAGGGGCCCAGCCTTGCTGCCAAGTCAGGCGGGCAGTGGGCAAGCTTGAGACCGGCTGTTGCATTCAGCCCTCCCTCCTGATGGCCACTACCAGACTCTGGGGTGCCCAAGGGCTGAGCTTGGAGTTGGGGGCCCAAGTCACCTGCTGTTCCGGCTGCAGGGCCTCAGCGGTGGCTCGGCCTCTCCTCCCCCCAGGTTATTAGAGAGCTCTCTGCAAGGCACGGGTAAGGCTTGGACTAAGCGGGTCTACACATAGGGGAAGATTGCCCGTGGGCCAAGTCGGGGCCAGTTAGGCTCCTGTGGCCACGGGGCCTACTTGCTGCTTCCCCCCACTGAGCCAGCCCCCTGCCTCCTCCCCAGCCCGGCAGGGCTGCCCTGTGGTGCTTGGGCCCCCAGCTGCCCGGCTCACAGCTTGTCTGTTCGGGAAGCTGCAGGGGGGCTGGTCCTGGAGGCACCGTGATGTTTCAGCAGAATTGGGATGTGACGTGTGTATAGCCCAGGGACAGTTCACGACTGAGCTGAAAGGTCTGCGGGGGTGGCTGGCTCTGCCTTCAGCTGGGCGCCTCCCCTGGAGGGGCTGGCCCGACCGGCCACAGTCCAGGGCACCCCGAGGCTCCCTCCCGGGCTGGTAGTATTTGCTGACTGACCTCACCAGCTCTTACCCAACTTTGTAAAACCACCCTGGGGAGCCTGTTTGGCAGGAGCAAGGTAACTTAGAGGTGTGCCCGGAGCCGACGGAGGAAGAGGACTCACCTTCCTCCCACGGGGCTGCTGCCCTTCTAGAAGTCCTGGCTGGCCGCCCCTTCTCAGGGACACTGCTCCCTCTGTGAGCATTTTATGAGGAGGATTTGTTTTTTCTTCCCACGTCACCTTTCAGGCCTTCCTTGTTTGTTGTGCTGTGTTCCTTCTCCTGACTCTAGTCCTTGGACAGCAGCTGCCCTTGGGGCCCCGATGAGGTCCTGGACTCAGAGGCTGACCCGGAGCCCACAGCCACCCCTGCTCCCGTGGGGTGGACACTCCCCAGTCCCCGCAGTGCCTGGAGCCAGAGAAGAGGGGAGAGGCTGCTGACGTTGCGGGGAGGAGAGAGGAGCAAGCAGCACAGAGGAGAGCCCAGCACCAGTTCTGGGAGCTGGGGGGTAGAGCAGGCTGGGGGAGCCCCCGGGGAAGAGCCAAAGGCTCCATGTGGGTGCCTGAGCTCAGAGACGGGGCAGGTGTGAGCGCAGGGCCCTGTGCCAAACTGGAAAAGGCAGCCCTCGGTGACTCGGGCTGTCTGTGTTCTTTAGGGAAGCCTGTGAAGGCTGGTGCTCCCTGGTCCTGGGGTCAGGAAGGCCCTGCAGGAAATGAGTAGCAGGCCCGAGGCATCTTGGGAGGTGGCTGGGGCACAGACCGCCTCTGTCTGTGCCAGAGCAGGAGGGGGAGCCGGCTCCAAGTGAGGACCTCTCTGAGGGACGCGCCCAAGTCCTTCCTGCTGATGAGTGT